CTCTTTCCCATGGAACAGAGAGGCAATTCTGCAGCAGGCACCTAATTGCATGACAGTTGCAACAGCCTCCTGAACTTGTGATGCCCAGTGGCTATCTTACAACAAATTCCCCCAAACGTAAACTTTTTTAAAAAAGTTTAAAATTGTTTTAAACACTTAGATAAAATTAAGTTCTAATGTGTACATTTAATTTATGCTACTGCATTCATTGACAAAGCCTCCTTTAGCATCCTGATTTATCCTCAAGTTTTTTGCCAACAACAATTCTACCAAGGCGCATTTCCTGTGTAACCGTAAAAGCTTGACATGGCGATAAATAGCCTGGGAATAGTTGCTACTGCTTGAAGAATGTTTAGAGTATTGGTGCACAAGCTGGCCAAAGGAGCACCTCTGGCTTGTAGTACTCAATGCCCAACACAGAGCTGTGCCATAGCCCCATGATATAATCTGGACTAATATGACCATAAACTTTTGCCTTTTTAAAAATCTCTTGGATAAACAACCCCAGGACCATTTCTTTGGCCCTGTCTAATTTATGTAAGCACTTATACATAGTGTTAATTATCATTATCCAGTGTGCTTTTAATGATGATTTCCCCACAAGTGCTACCTGTTACCAATTGTTTTAAGCAAATAAGCTATTTGCTTGCTTAAAAATAAAATGTGAAGAGACTTCTACACAGAGGTAACATGGCAGCCATGATATTTGCCTGGGTACAGACGTGAGTAAAACAATAAGCATATTTAATCAGATTACTTAGACTCTGAGGATTCGCTATAGCATAAGATTTAAGCATTTAATTATGTCAAACATAAATCATGGAAAAAACCTAAATGCATCTTAATTGCTAAGCTAGGAATTGCAAAACCAGTAAGAGGTCTTTAGGTCTTTTCACATAAGAAGTAGGGAGGAATTAAATAAAAACCCAACAAACAAAACAAAAAAACCAAACTTGAAACACCCTCATACAAATGTAATCCTATACCTCCTAGACCTTTTCTGTGCCAGAAAGAAGGAAAAGGTGATGCAGAAAACCAATTTGGTTTTACAATTTTGTTTTAAAACGGTCTGAAGCAGATTTTTCCATAAAGAAAAGGTAATTTCTAGACTCACTCGATCTCCAAGTATAAAGCCTCATATTTAGGCTATAAAAATATTAAACATGGTAGGTAGCGGATGAACTCTGGTGAGTTTAAACTCAGTGAAGAAGCTTTTCCCTACTCATCAGTTGTTCTGAGATTTCAAGAGAGCGTGTGTCACCTAGGAACAGCGGGGTGGTTGCTTCGGTGGTAACTTCATTGGGGTCTGTCCCAGCTTCCAGAAGAACACGAACACTTTCCAGAGCCCCATGGCATGCTGAAAGGTGCAGCGCACACATCCCTTCAAACGTCTTTGAGTTTATGTAGTCATCAGATGGAGCTACAAATGAGAATAACGGACAAAAAGAGAGTTATTTGAGATGTGTGGCCTACAGCGTATCCACGAACATGCTGTTATCAACTCTTTCAAAGAGCAGTTCCAGCTATTGCTGGTCCTATGCAGATAGCTGCCTTGGACAGAGAAGGTAAAGTAAAACTAAACCTCATTCACAGACTATAACATGCCAATTTCTCTTTACCGTAGCTAGTTAGTATCTGTGAAACCACACAGACATTTACAAAACAAGCACGAATAGGATAAGAGAAATCTATTTAATTTATGTTATATGTATGACAGGGTAATTTAGCAGAAAAATCACACTATTTCACATCGAATTTTCCTTACCTGCACGAACGAGCAGCCTCAGACATTCACTCGAATTGTGAGCTGCTGCTTCGTGGATTGGCACCCACCCCCTGTTATCTGGAACATCGATGCTGTATCCCTGCTTAATAAGTTTCCTCAGCATTTTAACATTTCCTTCTCTGGCTGCAAGCCCCACGGCGGAACACCGATCAGAATAGGCTTCCGTGAAATCCATCCTTGCATGTGGCAAACCCTGCAGGAGGAAGACGGGAGGAAGAAATAGGAGAAGGAAGGAAAAAAAAAAAAAGTTGTTAGTACAAAATATGTATACGAGGTTTTCTGGTTTCGTTTTGTTTTGCAGAGGTTTTGGTTTGGTTTGTGGTTTCTGAGGGGAGCGTGTTTGTTTGTTTGTGGGGTTTGGGG